AACTGTGCCAAGCGGATAAGAACCGTCCAAGAAACACTGGATGCAACCAGAGCTATCTGCCACGGCGAGGATACTGTTGCAATTTAAGTCATCAAGCTCGTCAAGATCCTCTTCATGAATGTCTTCGGAACGTTTGGATGGTTGAACGGAAGCGGTGAGGGGGTCAGATGGCAAGACAGGCCACTGTTTGAAGGGGGCGGGCATAACATTAGACACAGACGACTTGGATTGTGCCCCCTGGAAGGCAAAGAACTCTTGGGTTCTTTCCAGAAATCAGCGAACCGCGGTCTCCTTCATAATGTCACAACATACCCTGCAGACTGTGAGTCGTCTTTCAAAGCGTCCAGAAGTGGGAGCATTTTTAGCACAGAATGCGTAGAACCTGTCTTTCAAGACATTACGGAAAATTGCATTTCCAGACATAGGCGTTGAACATACGATGATATCACGACGCTTGAATATGTCAGGTATTGAACCAATAGGCGGCTTCTTGTCATCCACAAACCACCAAATCCCACGGAGTTGACTGCCGTCCAAAAAATCTTTGGTCATCGCCACACTCCGTTCTTCCCGGCCATCTTGAATGGAGTGACAGCTGATACGAGGGGGATCATGTATCAGAACGACAGTTTGGCCTTACCTAACGGGTTCAGAGGGAAGCCTACTCCTTGTAATGAAGACATACAATCGGGACTCCAAGCCAGGTCGACAACTTCCTCCTTGGCTGTTGAACCTACATCTAAGTCAACTTCCCACTTTTTAGATCCTTGCATCTTCCATAGACTCATGCGGTCTTTCCCGCCTAGTCTTGAGAACACCACGATGAGATCTTTGTCTGGGCAACAGGACGAATAGTGGAGCCGAGAGGATGGTGGTAACTGTAGTCTGGATAACGAACTGATCCCGCTATGTTCCATTTCTTTCAGCGAGTCTACAGAGCAGCTACTACGCAACCAAGAATTGAAGGCCGCGGCGCACGTACAACGATATGCGAGTATAAGAGTGAGCGTGAGATTCAAGCTCAGAGTTGGTCCACGCGCCTCATGTATATACTTCTTTCTCAGGCTCACGGTGCCGCGGCATGAAACACCGCAATACAGTTGCCGCCGGCCAACAGGGCGCGAGCCCAGCCCATGGGCGTACATTGTCTTCAAGTACATCATACGTGGACGTGGATATGAGTCACCTCAGGTGCTCGTCGCCGGGTACATGACGCAAGACCGCACAACTACGTCCCCTTCCGTCTCCCGCCTTTCTTCGTTCCCCCGATCGCGTCACCTTTCTTCGCACGTACGCCCTCACCCTTGGTCCGCCGACCGGACTCCTCTTCGAATGTCCCAACGTCCTTCTTTTTTCCCGCCTTAGCACCTTTACGCACCTTTAACTTGGGCTTCTTCGGCATGGCAGGCTCCGGCAGACCGATCTTTGTGGGTCGCGTGGCTTTTTTTGCGGAGCGGATAGCCGCATCCACACCCTTACGATCGCTGACGCTCTCATCTTCCAATGCGAGCTTCCTACGCTTGGCTCTCCGCGTCAGACCGGCGAGCTTGTCACGCTTAGGCTGCGAAGACCATCAGCCCAGACTCGTCTCAACCCCGTGAAGACGCACTCTCGTCTCGTCACCTCCGGCTTTGTCCTTGCCCAGCTTTTCATCAGGAAACCCTTGTTCGTACTGCTTCTTACTTAAGACTTCGAACAAAGGTCAGAAATGTCATTTTCAGAGAAAGAAAAGCAGTTGTCCCACTCTCGGCTTTTAGCTTGTCCTTGCTAGACTGGAACCATGTCCGTGCAGGTCGGGAGAAGATCTGGCTCTCATGCTTAATCATGTTTTGGCCTTTAGTGAGCTCCATCTCTGCCTGTCGGATCTAGTAATTGTCAGACGAGGATAGTAATAATTGTCAAAAAGTTGAACCTGCTTCTCCACCCTCTCTTCCTGCATAACGATCGCAACCTCGCCTTTGAGCGCCTCAAGTTTCTTAGCCCACTTCGCCACGACCTCCGGTGGAATTGTCCGATGTCTGACCTGATCCTCACCGGATGCGTGCTTAATAGCGGCCTTGAGCATCTTACGGTCGGCTTCGCCCACCAACGTTACCGATCTAGCTGTTTATGTAGCGCGTACAAGCAAATACGAGCTCGTGGACACTAACGCACCTGCCTTTCTTCCCTGCACGAGCAGTACGACCAACTCGGTGGAGGTACTGAGCGAGCTGGCCTGGCATATCATAGTTAATGACTGTTTCAATGCCCTTGATATCAAGACCACGCGAGGCTAGGTCCGTCGCCATCAAGAAATCTACTTTGCCGTCGCGGAAACGCTGCAAAGCTTGCAATCGCTCGAGTGTAATCAGTGATGGAGGCTGATCATTGCAGCGAAGCGTACATACCTGTTCTTGGGAAAGATCCCCGTGCAGTTCCTCACAGGACGTCCCCAAGAGCCCGAAAACGATGCGCATTTGATGAGCGAGCTTCTTACTCCGCAAGAAAATGATAACACCAGATTTGAAAGTTCGTTGACATAGCGCAACTAAAAGAGCAGAGCGATCAGACTCTCTACCTGCGCGGACTCGTACGAACTCCTGCACAAGCCCGCGTGCCGTGCTTCGCTTGGGGTCCACGAAGAGCCGTACCGGCTTATTCAGAGAGATCTTAATGAGCTCGTCGACAGAATCCGTCATGGTAGCAGAAAATAACATGGTCTGCCTTGACACTGGACATGACTTGATAATCTCCCCGAGTTCGTCAGCGAAGCCGTCTGAGAGCATGCGATCAGCCTCATCCAAAACAAGAATATCGAGGGCATCCAGCGTAAAGGAAGGGGAATTGCGAAGGTGATCAATGAGACGGCCTGGCGTTGCAACAAGAACATCTGGTCGGGTGCGCAACGCCGTCTCCTGGGCCTTGAGCGACAGTCCGCCTGATCGAAGCAAGTCAGTGTTATTGCGCATAGGGAAAAGAAAGTAGAACCGCACCGACAATAAGGCAGTACTGTATATCTGTGTGCATCGCGAGCTTCTTGCCAACGTCGTAGCACTGGGCAGCCAGTTCTCGCGTAGGGACGAGGATGACACACCGAGTTGCGGCGGCCTTTTTGCCTCGGTCACGATAGAGCAAGCGCTCGATCATAGGGATCATGAATGCGGCAGTCTTCCCAGAGCCAGTCACGGCATTCCCTACGACGTCTTTGCCGAGGAGGCCGACGGGAATGGTAGCGGCCTGAATGGGAGTAGGGGAATGGAAGCCAAGCGTCGTCAAAGCCTTCCAAACGGGACGCGAGAGATTCATTGAGAGGAAAGACGAGTGAGGTTCTGTAGGACCAGATTCTGAAGCGAAAAATGCGGCCTTGCGAACTTTCTCGGCAGTCGTTTCTGCCTCGCTGCCATTTTCGGACGATGAAGAGGTATCAGAAGAGGTGCCCTCGTCCTCGGCGCCCTCGTTGACCTCGCTTCCTGCTTCTTCTTCGTCTGAGGTAGCCAAAACGTCCTGTTCTTCCATGCCCTCGAAGTTATGAAGATCGCCGTCGTCCATTTCATTATCATCTTCGCTGCTGTTGTCTTCACTCTCATCCTCTCCAGTGCTATCAAAAGCATTGGACTCTGAGTCTGATGCATCCTCTTTTCTTTCCATTTCTTCACGCTTTCGCTTGTTGGACACCTTGCGCACAAGTCGCTTGGCTATAATATCGTCAACAGATACCCGTGGCTGTAAACTCGCTTTAGCACAAAAACATCATAGTACAACGGTTTCCGACGCACCAGCTTCGAGCCTTGCTGAACATGGTCCTCAACATCCCCTGTCCCAACCGCCGGGTCGTACAGATCTCCGGAGATGCCGAACGTGAACGACGGATCAAGTTGCATACCTTCTGCTCGAGCTTTTTTCTCGGGCGCCTTAGGGGAGGAGGTACCGGGGCCCTCCTCGTCGGAGTCTATAGTCATAATAAAATCTTTGAGCGCCATGCTAGCTCCGAGACGTGGCTAGTGGGGCTGCCAATGGATGGAAATGAGAACGCATACAGACCGGTACGGCAGTACCACAGGTATTCAGAATCACGTGTATCGCAAGTATATACCCTCATATTATTATTATTATTATTGTTATTATTTCCCCTCTGGGCCGCTGACGTGGGTATCTATTTTCAAATCAACGTATGTTACTAGCGAAGGGGACGAAAACTGTATACTAACCCCTACCCTTCATCGGACGAAGTCGTGCAGCACACCCATACAGAACAGCAGTCCAGCGGAAACGGAGGACCGAGCACATGCCGCCGTAGACGGCACGTGTTCCTCTGTCTTCCTGCGGACGCTCCAGCGCTAAGCGGAGAGATGCCTATGTAGGTGTTGTCGGGCACGCGCGGTTTCTTGAGCAGCTCAATCAGCGGGATTGCCGATGCGGCTATTGCTCTCCTAGATACGAAGCCAATCATTCAGCACTTTGAGGCTTCTCCAGGCGCAAGCCAGACGTCGTCCGAAGGGTCTCACGCCACTCGTGTTTTCTAGGAAGAGCAGGGTGCCGTGGGAGCCGCACGAGCGGCGCGGTCACGCGACAGCGGGACGCGTGCGGGCTGCTTCGCATTCCGCGGTGGCGTGACGCGGGCGGGACTCGGTAGTCCGGCGCGTCGCGCGCTTGGTCGCGCGAGCCGTGAGAACGGGAAGAGCTTCACGAAGTGAAAGGGAGGAGGGTGTGAAGGCAAGGGTGCGAGCAAGCGGACGATGAGAGCTTCAATTAATGTGTGAGTCTAGGACGAAGACGAGGCGACTTGCTCACACATATATATTCTGAGACATCTACGACGATCTTCAAGAGCACACGTGGCTGAGGTCACACGGCCTCGTGATGCCTGTCCCCTCTACCTCGCTAATTTGCCTGGGCCGGAGGGTGAAAGTGGCATACTCATATGTAAAGACAAACAACATTCCGACCACAAAACTTATGTAGGACATTTTACGTTCATGAGTCCAAAGGTGCAGCAGGCTAATAAACAAGGCCAAAATGATCGTCGCGAGCAGGGTTCGAACCTACGCGGTGAAACACCATCAGATATTTGATAATGGAGTTCAAATCTGACGCCTTAACCACTCGGCCATCGCGACCATAAACGAGGTCGTGTATTGTAATTCATGATCACTGTTGTGGTTCCAGACAGGTCAGCTAGGTGGCAGACAGAGAGGGTTTAAGTGCACATTTGCGAACGAGTACCCGTGACTATAACGAACCGTCCCCCTTGCCTTTGTAACCACGTGAATGCTGCAGCCATAGCCCTGAACTTGAAACCCTGTGTACGTAGAAATGCACAGAACGCCGGGAACACCCACGGCGTAATGTCGTCGACTTGTACATCGACAAAGCCCAGCGACATCATTTCCTGGACATATGTATCCTTTGATACAACATTCGCTCGCGGTACGACACCTAGGACGGAAGATAAAATAAAGGTGGTTGAAGGAGAAGGTTGAGAGGTGAAACAGATGTCAGCCAGGCCAATACGACCGCCGGCATCCAAGTGAATAAAGCTCTGTCGCAGGAAATCGCGCCTCATCTTGAAGTGATACGCGCAATCAAGTGCCAGGATAGTATCAAATTTGTGTGGAGAGTTGTCCGACAGGGGATGCGGCCCTTGACTAGCTTGACTCCAGACAGCATCACCCCGAAGTAACTCAACTTTGACTTGCGATGCGAGCGGCGGATTTTTCCTCAAGACAGCATCAACTCGTGCCTGTGCGCGCGCCCAGTGTTCCGAAAGGCTGGTGACACCGCACATAAGCGATGGTCGCGGCAGCTCCGGGTGTGAGATCTGGAGCAATAAGAAATCGCCACATCCGTATCCGACCTCTGGAATCACGTCCGGCAGATAAATAGGCAGCTGAGACTAGCCGAGCAATGGTCGTACCTAGAACTCGTCCCTGGGGCTTCATGGACACAGCGTGGGCAAGCCGAAGGGCGAGTGCTGAAAGAAACATCAGGACCTACGCGCTGTATGCTATATGCTTTTTTAACTGGCCTTCACAAGCATTGGGGAAGGAACTGGTAGCCTGAGTGACGAAAGAGTGAGGACGCCTTTCTACAGCAAGCTGCGCGCAGATCCTACCTTCCAAAAGCCCATATTTAGCCACTCGGTCTGAGGCGGACCGGGGTGCTCAGGATCTATGTTCAGTTGAAGGTGGAAAGTGCCGTATGGGTCCCGTCGACTCGATGCATGCATGGTGGCTAGATAGACTGGAGTGGGGGAAACCGACCTGAGCACCTGCGCTGTAGCCATCAAATCCTACTACAAATGCAGTATAGACACTCCCTACTGAGACACGGCGTTGCAGCTGGTGCTTTGCCGTTGCGGAAATGTGCCAATTGGAAGGACGGGGAGGAAAGAGGTTTAGTTGACGTCGCGAGGATTCGATGTTTGGTGTTGAAAGCTACTAGAAGCAAACTAAAGCTCTAAACATGGATATGTTATCGTATCATACGAAATTATGAACGTATTTGCTGCGAAGCGACTCGGACACCGTGACTGGTATACCCGCAAGCTTGACTTGTTTTCTGCCACACGTTTTGTTCCGTCAGACCACAACTTCTGTGAGCGTTATGGATCTGCGCATTGTCGGGCGGTACTGATCGTCCAGGTGCATTATCGTACTAACATATAATTCTTCGAACCTCGGACTACACCTCGGCGGAGGATGAACGACTTGAGCCTCCTCTTTCTGCGCTTTCTTGACCATGTACGGTGTCAGCTACCGTCCTCTCTACTTTACGACTCCTGAACATCTTCCCAGACCAATATCACCGTTACTGGGGCTACCGGCGCATTCCTGCTCTACACTCGTTCAGCCGGTGTGGCTTGGTTTGCGATGGGCGCCGTAGCATGCTCCCTGACTGTCAAAGTTCTGAAGCGTCTCATTCGACAAGACAGGCCGGACCCAATCCTTCGAAAAAAGAAGAAAAAATCTTATGGGTATGGCTCACGTCTTCTGGGGTGTCAGGTGCTGAAGTCTCCGGCAGCATGCCAAGTACACATTCTGCGTCCATGGCGTTCTTCGCGAGTGAGTCCTTCCTGCTCTCCCTTCTGCCGTACATGCTTCACAGCCCCCTTCAGCGTACATACCTCTGGCGTGCGCATATCTGCCCATTCATTCATCCCTCCCAGACGCTGCATACATAATAGTCCTCCCGCCCTTTCTCATCATCCCATGTGCCATGCTGGTGACCATCTCTCGCACATGGCTTGGTCACCATACCTGGCCTCAGGTCCTTGTTGGCTGTTCTTATGGTGTTGCATTTGCACTGCTTTGGTACAATGCTTGGATCCGTGGCGTGCAGGAGTACGGGGCGATTGTAGAGGACATGGTCCGCGAATATATTGGGAAATGATTATGATTAGTTCTCTGAATGTAGTTGCCGACGGCCTTTTGCAACGCGTTGCGTGCGAAAAGGATATAGTTTCTAGAGCAAAGTGATATGCGATTTTTGCGGTAAGCCGCTGCCAAAAGTGGAGGTGCGAGGACGCGCACGGATGAGAGAGCCGGCCCGTGCTTGACACCCATTTCAAACCTTGGTCTCCTCCATACTCTTTCCAACCTTTCCCTTCCAAGTGCGCTTCAGGTCCGAAAAACACTCGGCGCACAAGTGATGCGCAAGTTTTGCTGCCCCGCAGGCTGGGCAGCTAACAAGATCTGCGCAGCGAAACGACTCGTGAGAAGCAATTGACAGACAGACGCTCATGACCTACTTTGTTTATCCTTGAGGCCTTTGTTAGCAGACCGCATAGATTTTCTTGAATGCGAAACCTTCTTCTTGGGGACGGCAAGAAGGAAGGGAGGGAGGAGGTCTAGGATTGACTCAAGGGGTGGGATCGTCCACGAAAAGGCGCCCGGCGCGGCAACAGAAGGGAAGAGGCGCGTTGACCATGACGCAACAAGAGAGGCCTGGCGCAGAGAGGGCCCAAATGACTGTAGGGCGAGGGAAACCATGGGGTGAAGATGCAAGTGCGCCGCGGGCCGAATGCAGCAGGTGTAGTCCGGTCTGTCACGCGCGTTTCATCGTGCCGACCGCGAACCTCCTGAACTCTGCTTAAGCGTCGGTAACTATGCTCCGCCTCACTCGTCCTCTGCTCCAAGCCACCAAGTTATCTACCGGAATCGTCGGCCTCAAAGTCCACCCAAACCCGCTACCAGAGCTCACGAAGGTCTACGAGGACACGCTCACGCTCCTCGCGAAACTCCCCGACTACTCCGTGTATCGTCAGGGTACCGAGGCACTCACGCGGCACAAGCTCTCCGTCGTACAAAAGGCGAACGGAGACATTGCAGAAGTGGAAAAGGGGCTTGATGAGGGACAAATCGAAGAGTCGCTCATGATTGCGAACGACGAATTCGAACTGGTGGATAAGATGGCGGAGTGGAAAGCGTTTGTCCTTACATTTATGTCTCGATTGCTCGCGTTTCACCCTTAGTTCCTTAGGTGGGAGCCTCTGGAGGAGAAGCCTGAGCCGGGGCAGTGGGAGTACTTTGGCAAACAATCCAATGCTGTTTGATGTACTTTCTCCGGAAGCCTTGCCAGAATCGACCGCTTGTTTCTTTTCCTTTGCCTAGCGCTGGACGGCATATTTTCACCAGTGCTCCTTCAGTACCGCCTCGAGGCGAATCTAGCGGACGTTACATTGGATAGCAGTATACCGCAGTGATAGCAGCGGGATTGGTATGTACATCGACATCATTGCCCCCCGCGAATAGGGTTCCGAAAACGTCACGGAGAACTACACAACAGTCGAGATAATAATATTAGTCTATGCCCTTAGGAAATTCGCAGAGACGGGCGTGCAGCAGGCGTCTCCAAGACTAGTAGAGGGCAATGTGAGATGGGAATGCGATATGCCAGGAAACACAGAGCATTGTAGCAAAGAGTCGATAGATTTGCCCGCAACGAAAGGTCTGAACCACGTTCGAAAGACATGGTGGTGTACGGAAGTCGACTGCTCAAGCATCCATGGCGCTGAAAAAAAGGTGCTGACCAATCAAGGACATCGCGCCGGCATTTCGCAGCCGCTGCAGAGCTGTTCGTGCATATCTCCAAGCTCTCGGCCGGTGGCGACCAGCGCTATTCAAGTATGGACTCTTTAATCCCCTTCACAACGTCTGGCTCGCTCGTAGATTGTGTGGACAGTACGTCTGCCTGTCTCCACTGCCGCCACTTCCGCCCATCATGATTCTCCGCGTTTGTCTATCCCCTCCCCGCACGGTAGGGAAGATGCTTGTCATCCTACGCGACGGCAGGAAGCTACACGGTGTCCTTCGCTCGTATGATCAGTTTGGTGAGCGCGACCGGTGCATATCGATATTTACCGACATTCTCAATGTACACAAAGCAAACCTTGTTCTTGAAGATACTGTCGAGCGAATATACTCTGGGAACACATTCGCCGAAAAGTGGTGTGGACTGTTCCTGATTAGAGGGGAAAATGTGGTTTTACTTGGGGAGATTGTGAGCGCCCTTGTTTTTTAAGCTAGCGGCAACAACTTGACCTTCCGTAGGACTTGGATCAGGAAGATGACGTGCCTCTACAGCAGGTTGACTTCGAGCTTCTCGATGGCCATCATCGCCACGAGGCTGCAGAAAAACGACATCGTGATGATACCAAGGCGAAAGTACTATTTGAACAAAAAGGGTTCTGTAGGGAAGGCGGTGAAGGTGATGGGTATTGATTCAGATTCACTCTTTCCTCCCTCATGTTTTGGATGACGCTATATGGACCTATGAGTTTGGTTCGCCAGTCACATCTATCACGCCCAGGACGCCACCAGTAATATCGTGCACTACGGCGACCTTCATATCTCGGCGGTGTGATACTCATAAAATCATTCGAGCTGACATTCCAATAAAGGATGGTACGGACCTTGTGGCTTATCCACTAAGTCAACTCTTTTCTGGCTTGCCGAAGATACAGATCTTACAGTACGATTCAAGACATGAGCTGACTACCAATAGCTCACGGCGAGTCCCGATGTCCGGGTGACTACGCGCCCCCCAACGAGGCGTGGCTCACTGGGCGGGTGCATTCCGCTCGAGTACAGAACCATTTTGATCGCAAGGAGAGTACCCT